AATCACTATCTACTAAAGAGTTCCTGCTCATTACATATGTTTCTGTTTTCAATTCTTCCACACTTAAAAGTGTCATAGTGGTTTTACTGCCATGCTTGGAATGAAATTGATTAAAAAAAAAAAAATATACAAAGGTCAATTTTGATGGAAAAGGTAGATGATTGTTCACATCCTGAACAGATATGCTATATAGAAGAAGAAATTGTGATAAAGGATAAATTCTGAGATGATGTAAAAGTGGATGGACCTGAAATTTTTAATGAAAATATTTTTTCCAATTCAAAATAGTTTGTATTATTTTCTCATTAAACTGATGTCTCAGCCAAAAAATTTTGACACATCAAAAACTAATAAAATTTCTAACGAAAGAATATTTGGCTAGAAGATAAAATACCATATGGAAACAGTGAAAAATCTCTGGTTATTTCTGAAACAATAGTCAAACATAATAATTCAAAAGCAATTAAAGATATTAGTCAAAATAAATTAACTTGTAGATTTTTCCAATTTCAAAAAAATAAAAAAAAAAAACAATATGACTCTTTGTTTTTGGATTCGTTTTTAAAAGTTCAGGAAAATCAATCTTCTCCTCAAACTCAGATTTTAAAGAAAAAGAATTACAAAATAAATCTTATCACATGAGGATAATCTCAATTGTGTCTCAGTTGCAACATCAAAGATATTATCTTCTTTGGTTGAGAAATAATGCCGGAAAGAATATGCAAAATGAACACAAGCTATAAATTGAAGTCATTTTGTTCAAAGTGGAGTGGGTTGGTAAGAAGGCCATAAAATGTATCCATCTGAGACAGAGCTTTTCGATGAATTCTTTGTTTTAGTGATTAAAGGAAAAATTCCAAATTGATAGTTAAAACAAATGAACAGGAAGAAATTAATGTTCTTGATGTAATAATACATGATAATCATATTTACAATGATGATATAATAACAAAAAAAAAGTAGGAATGATATCATATTTATAATAATGATATGATGACAATAATTTTTAGAATGATAATATTATGACAATAATGCAGATCCAATGATTATCATAATTATGATAATAATGTGTTTTAGAGAGCTTATTAAAATATTGTGATAATTTATTTATTATTTATTTCAAAATTTCTGCAGTTATTTCCATTTTCCTGTATTAGAAATTTTCTTTTTTGTGAACTTAAGATTGTTTATTTTATTTTTTACTTTCTGTTTTTGCTGACTTAAAGTTATATTTATCAACTTTTCATTTTCTTCTTTTGTTCATTTTTTTTATCAATTGATGGCATTGACAAAAAGAGCTGAAACAAAATGGTCAAATAAATTATTTTATTGTTGTCTGAAATAATTACTTCATAATCTTTTAGTATTTTAGACTTAAATCCTTTTTTGCATCTTTAATTTTTTTGGCTTTTCAGACTTTTTTTTCTTCTAACAAGCTTTTAATATTTGTTTTTATGAATATTTTGTAGTTTATTTTATTTTCTAAATTTTTTTTTAAATTAATATGTTATATATTTAAAAAAAAAATTTTTTTTGGGGTCTAAAACATGTAATATATAAAAGTTTATAAATAATGAATTATATATGTTTGTTGCAATGTGCAATCAAAGAGCTCCAATTCTCTATAAGATTTCCTTTTTTTATGTGTCTCCAATAGTCTCTGATACTAAGTTCTTTTCAAGTCATCTTTATACAAGTTTGATTTGAATCAAAAACTATTCTTACAAATGGTTCAATTCAACAGTTTGGAAAATGGTCCATTAAGGAATTTTTCATGTGCTCTTTACAAATCTTTACATTCAAATCATGCCAAAAGTTATCTCTGCAAATCCAAAGAATATCTGGAATGGAGCCCTGAAGATTTTGGCTGTCAACAGTTCAAACACTTTCAAAAGCTGAATAAAAATGCCCTGTTTCTTTTGGTAAATGTCCCATAATTCTCATATTTGATGACATCTGGCCAAATGCCCAGGCCTTACCCTGGAGATGATCCTTCCTGACATTTTCAATCTTAACATATTCATGTCAAAAAGTTAACCTACACCTCCACTGAATTTTCAATACCTTATAATTTAAAATGTTCTTTTTTCCGCCTTCCTTAAACATTCTTCAGTGACCTTTTACTTTAATTGAAAACTAAATGATTAATTTTATTATTTGGACTAAAGTAAAATATAAATTTAATGGAGTATATTTTTAAACAAAAATATATGGTAAGGATTTTTCAAATATTTTATTAAAAAAAAAAAAAATTTCTAAAACTAGTTGGAATTTTCTTAATTTCCAAAATTTGTAAAACAAAAAAATCGGTTTTAAAATTTTAAAAAAATCATATATTTTCTGATGCATTAAAAATAAAATTAAAAATTTAAACTAAATTAATCTGAACCGTTTAAATATCAATGGTTAAAATGGCTTTTGAGTGAATATACAAGATTTTGGCAATGGGTCCTTTTTTTAACCTTGACACTACATAATTTCAAGCAAACAACTGTATCAATAAATTTAACCAAATCTACTTAACAGGATTTTCTTTTTAGTTTTTTTTACCTAAAATTTTTAGCAAATTAACAAAGAAAATTAAATAATGACATAATCAAGATGTTGACATTCCAGACTACTTCAAAGAAAAGATTAGGAAGGAAATCATCATTTACACTTCAAAGAGCTCTAACAGCTCTGGAGTTTAATTGAATAATGACAAATAAGATGTTGACGTTCCACACTACTTTAAATAAAAAATGAGGAAGTAAGCCTCCATCAATTTTAGAATAACAATATCAATTATTGGACTTAAAATTTTTAAAATTGAAAACAATTCTTGAAAAGATTTAATAAAATTCTTAAAAGACAAAATAGTATTAATAAATTGGTTAATAAAAAACATAAAATGTTTCCTTTAAACAATGTCATAATTTTTATTGCATTTATTACAAAAATTGAAATTTTAAAATTTTTGAATCTTTTTTTTCTTGTGATGGAAATTATCAGGATGTGAAAGAAAAATAGTACTTAACTGTTATGTATCCCTGCCCTCCTCCTATTTGACTTGAATGTTCAAAATTATAGGAAAAAGAAACTTGGGGCATATGGACTGAAAAAAATATTTATAAATAATTTCATTCATTTCTGAAAATGTCCTGAAATTTCTATTATAATCCGACAAAAAAAGGGCTGTTTTTTGACAGTCATAGAACAAAACAAGAGGGACAGGAAAAAGCAGTGTATAGCCTACCTAAAAAAAAAAAAAAAAAAAAATTGGTAGAACATTGACTTAGAAGAGATGAAATGTAAAAGAAACCAGATTTTTTTAGAACAGGAAACTGAAAAGGGATGCAGACATTGAAGAAAAATTTTTAAAACAAACAATATGAGAAATGAAGATTTCCAATAATTAAATAATGTAAAATATTCAAAAATGTTATATTTTATTAGATTTCTTTTCTTCATCATTTCTAAAACAATTTCAAGAAAAATAACAGGTCCCTAATCATTGTTTGTGAAAAGTTACAGATAATCTAGGCTCATTTCCTTGAAAAATTTTAACAAATATTTTTTTTTTATAACAATAAAATTGAAATAGATTTTAAAAATCCATTTAAATTTTAAAATAACATTTTGATTTCAAAATCTATCTTAAATATTTGCATATTTTACTGTTTGTCCTTCCTTTGAATATTGTTTCAATCTGTCCTTTGCTTCTCTATAGATTTAGAGATTCTTGATAAAATCCAAAGAAGAATCTGTAATTTTATTGGTCCTGATTGGCACCTAATACTTCAGTTACCTTCACCTGCCATAACATAGCTTCTCTGTATCTTTCTATAAATATATTTCATGGTAATTGTTCTAACGAATTTTTTAATGGCACAAGACTTAAAAAAAAAAAGCATAAATACTAGATTTTTGCCAAAATTTCATCATTTTACAAGTGAAATGACTAATATCCCTAAGTTTCCTTTCTAACAATTTCTTTGATCAATCCACTGGCTTATGGAAATTTCTTTATCATTCTTCTTTCCCAGTTAACTTTGACTCCATGCATTTTTGAGTGAGAAGGTCAATCGTTATCTTGTTTTCTTAATTATTGTTCTTTAATTTTCTCTCTCTCTCAACAGTGTTTATTTTCTCATATTCTCTCACACTCAGTAACCCCACTGTTCTATTCAAGGCTTTAAACCTTTGTTTGTTGTAAAATGACTAAAAAAGACATAAAAACATTTCTTTTCAAAACACTGCTAATTGAAAAAAAAAAAATATAAGATTTATTTTCATAGAAAACCGATTTTATCGATCATACTGGGGCCTAATGAGACTTATCCTTTAGAAAATTGGTTATGGTCATTTTGACAATTTCAAAGTATTGATTAGTTTGATAATGAACTCAGTGATTTGAGTTTTTTTCCTTTTTCTTTTGTCATTTTATTTCTTTGAAAAACAGAACTTTTTTCTCCCCAAATTCTCTTCATGGAAAATAATAAATTACACATGAACAGGTAATTTCTCCTTCATAACCAACAAGTATTTATAGTTTTTGTGTTTTAAATTTCCCAAAGTTATTTTAAAATTTTGATTTTAGGATGATAGTTGATACATTCGACAATTTGTCAATAAGGTAAAGTAATTTGGAGTAACTGGGTCACTCCCGACTGCAATTGGTACTAAAGAAGATGTAGAATTTAGGCATTTTCATTTATTGCAAATAAATATGAGATCCAATCAAGGAGACTAAAATATATATTTTCAACAAATGAAAATGTGCAACAGTATCAATTTCAAGAAAAAAATCTACTGTAACAACTGTTTTTAGGCAAAAATGTATTGTCATGATATACTGAAAAAATATATTTAAATAACAATAATTATGATAAACAAGCATTTAACGTTGCTGTACAAATTTTATTAAATTATATTTTTTTTTAAATAAAATATACTACCCTGGATAATAGCTAATATAATAATATAAACTTTAAAGTGATTATAATATTTACATCACATACCTTGACTGCTCGTGAGCTTTTTCTTGTAACAGGAGCTGTAGATACTGGTTCTTCAAGTACTGTTAATGGCTGTCTGGAGTTTTTACTCCGTCCTCGACCTCTTGCACGGCCACGAGTTGTAACTTTCGTCATCTTACTTAGAGGCATATCATCACTATCTGACTCAGAACTAAATTGTTCTTCTGTATCTTTTAATCTAGTCATATTGGTTTTTCGAAAGTTCTTTGAACCCTTGACTTTTTTAGGTTCTATTTCTTCAAGTGTTTCTCCAGTAGTACACTCTTCCATGATAGTATTTTGTCTTTTCCTACCACGTGTTCGTTTTTCCTCTTCAGGAATTATCAAATCAGTACATATTAATTCAGCTTGTGTCCTCCTTCTCGCACGAGTCTTTTTGGTTACTTGGGTCTCAGTTTCAGGATCTGCATTTTGAGCAGAATTTTCTTGAGTAGTTTCTGGTTCTTTAGATAATTCAGTTTTTGTTTTCTCTATTTCCAATCCAGAAGACTTTGTTCTTCTTGCTCGAAGTCTACGAGATGTACGAACATTGCTTTCTTCTGTATCACTAAATCCTGCTTTGGAATCTAATTCTTTATTTAAATTTTTGTTCACATCTTGTAATAATGCATCTTTATCATTATTCGGAATTTGTTCCAAACATTCTTCCTTATTGAGATCTTCAGGTGTTTTTCGATCATTTTTAGAAGGTGTTATTGGGATTTTATCACATGCTTTTCTCTTTCGGACACGTTGTATGCAATCATTCTTTTCATTTTGGTTGGTCACATTTTCACTTTCTTCTGCTTTATCATCAACAGGTACAGAACTCAGTTCACATTTGTACTCTACATCATCTTCTGTAATTTTAACCATTTTATCTGAATCATCATCTGCTTCATCTGCACCACAAACACCTCTAGCACTCACACAATCTTTCTTGCGAGTTGATTTCCTTTTAATGACAATCTTACATGTTAGTTTTTTCTCTTCATTTCCTGCAGAAATTTCTTCATTTATAGTAGTTTGAGTTTTATCAAGAGAAAACTTTAATTTAAAATTCTCTGAATAATGGTGATCATCAGTATTTCTGGCATCCAATTTCTCTAGAGGCAATGAGTTTGCAGACTTTTGGCTTTCATTAGAAAGAGGTAAATCAATTTTTGGTTCATCATCAAACTGCTTAGTGGCCTCTTTACAATATTTAGGAATTTTTGCCACCTGATCCTCACCTGATGATTTATTTTGAATGTCAAATACTTTGTCACTGCTGCCTGCCACTTCATCATGGGCACAGGGACTACTCCCACTAACTTCCACTTCCTCATGGCCACGAGCATTACTATCCCTACCAACTGCTTCTTCCTCAAGTTCACAAGCACTATTATCTCCACCAACTGCTTCTTCCGGATGTCCATGGGCACTATTATCCCCCCCAACTGCCTTTTCCTCATGGGCACTACTACCCCCACCAACCTGCTCTTCTTCATGGCCATGAACACTACTATCCTTGCCAACAAGCTCTTCCTCATGGCTGCTACTATCCCCATCAACCACCACCTCCTCTCGGCCACAGGCACTACTATTTCTGTCTACCACCTCTCCCTCAGAGCCATGGGCACTACTACCCCCACCAACTACCTCATCCTCTTGGTCTTGAGCATTACTAGCCTTGCCAAACATCTTTTCCTCTTGGCCGCAGGCATCACTACTCTTACCAAGTACCTCTTTCTCACGGCCACTACTAGTCCCGCCAACCGCCTCTTCCTCTCGGCCACAGGCACCACTTTCCTTGACAACCACTTCTTTCCCATGGCAACTATTCCTCCCAGCAACCACCTCTTCCTCATGGGAACAAATATCCCCACCAACTGCCACTGCCTCTTCCTCATGGGAACAAATATCCCCACCAACTGCCACTTCCTCATAGCCACTACTCTTCCCACCAACTGCCTTAGTGCCATGAGCACTATTACCTTTGCCAACTGCCTCTTTCTCTTGGTCACAAGCACTACTGCACACACTATCTGCCTTTTCATCACAGCCACTACTCTCACTACTCGCCTCTTTCTTTTGACCATGGAGACTACTCCTATTCCCCATCTCTTCCACATGCCCTTGAGGACTATTCCCACTGTCTACCCTT